CTTCAGCCTCTTTCCTGGCAGTAGTTGCCAAGTCTCTTGCCAAAACTCTGCTTCACCAATACCCTGATCCAAAAAGCCCCAAGTCAGCAAGGGGCGGGCTCTGTGGCCCAGGGCAGCTGTGAGACTTCCCAACACCAAGACGGTACCAGAGATCACCGCTGTGAGTGTCAAAGCAGCTGTACCCCTGAAGCCCCCTTGGCCTCAGCATCTGTATGGAAGGAGGTGGCGCCAGTCCCATGGAACTGCACCAGAAAGTGACACAAGGGCAGTGAACACATTTGCCCTGCCATCCGGCTCCAGGAAGTTAGGAGGCTTTTAAAGGCATGTCTATGCTTGCACTGGGATCTCCAAGGTCAGGGCAAGCTTCACAACCTTCTCTGTCAGGGCTTGCTTGGAGCTGAGCCCATGCCTTGCAGCTGGGCACAGTTGGAGCTGGGCCTGTGACTTCAGAGGGAGGCCAGGCTCTCTCAGGGCACCACACAGCTGATGGGGACCTCCTCACACTTCCAAAGAAGTTCTCTAACCTCTGCCCCAGGGTGAGCCGAGACCTGTGTAGTGTCTCCTGCCTGGGACATGGGCCAGTTTACTCCTGGAGGGTGTCCTGAGCTGCTGAGCCTCTTCTGACTTGCATAAGAATGAGTCAGCCTTCAAAACCCCAAGTGCTTCAGAGGCCCGGACTTGCAGGAGGGAGCGGGGGAAACAGGAGGCCACCGGGCCACTGCCAGGCCTCCGACCTGCAGCCCCAGGGGAATAAGGGCCAGGTGTGGTTTGCTGGGCAGTTATGAAACCCGAGGAGGAGCTGGCTGACTTTGGGCTGTCCTTGAGAACAAGCAGGTATTGTGTGGGCCGTGTGGAATGGGTATTCAATACCTATCAATTCATGCACAAATCCACTGGGCCTTGTGCCAAGGGAGGGCCTTCCAGGAGCCTGGGTTCAAGCTGGAAAGGGAGGGGTATGTGCTGTGACCCATATGCAGAAGAAAGGAGGGACGCCCAGCAGCAAAGCTGCACGTTTCCAAAACCCCAATGAGATGCGTGGACAGTCCCATAGGTCTCAATGCATGTGCCGGAGTCTACCAAGGTGTCTGGGGGTACAGAAATTCTACCAGTCAGTGATTAGAGGAATGTCTTCCTTAAAAATTGCGGGTGTAGGGGGTGTGGAGAGTAGTTCTTCATAGGCCATCATCCTGGCAACCAGCAAATATTTACTAAGCAGGACTGTCTGTGTGCACGGTCCAGTCTGAGGTATTGACCTCCCTCCCAGCCACGAACCCTGGAGACAGACCATGACGGGCAGCAAAACTTTGTAAATCGAGCCCACTACACATGAGAGATGCATAGCACGTCTTTGGACTGAGGACAAAAGCTTTGTGCATCTGGACAGTTTTCCCTCACAAGTGGCAGAAAGACTGGGCGAGGTGAGAATAGAATTGGTGCCAAGGAAAGAAACTGGGGAGAGACGTTGACCATGGTGGAGAGGCTAGGGAATGAGGGCTGGGGATCTGAGTAGAGAGTGGCGCAGGGCAGGCACCTCACCCCTCACTGTTTCATCCCTTCTTTGGGCTGATCTTCACCTGCCCTCCACAGTGACCCCGGGTGCTAGGTATTAAATCCTTTCTCTCTGTACTTCCTAGGTTAAGGGAGCCCCCAGCCAGGCCCCATCCCTGTGGCTGGGAGGTGGGAGGCCCTTCCTTACCATATTTCCAGTCCTCCCTGCCCCTCATCTTTCCCAACAGACCATCTCCTGTGAGTAAGGTCACGCCCAACTTTCCCTCTTCTACCCTGAATTGCTGCACCTGCTTCCTAAGACCTGGTCTGCCTTGTCTTTGCTCACACCTTCCAGGTATCCAAAAGCCTAACCATTTCACCTGGCCTGATCTGACCTTTATCTCCCAAGTTCAGCTCCTCAGAGAAGCATTTCCTGATTCCCAGGCCATGCACCTGTCCCAATTCCCCCTGAGCAGAATTCTAATTCTGGGACTTGATCGTAAACATGACTGATGACAGACGGTCACTTCTACACATACAGTGCCTTATACAGTGCTATGTCCTCCTGCTTCCCCCACAACACTCAAGCCATTCCTAGGCCAGGTAGACCAAGGGGATGTGTGGATTGGCCTGTTGGGCTGAGTGCCTATGTGTGACAGCTGTGTTCAATTAAGATCCAGGGCCACCATTCCCAGGCCACCCAGAGAGTTTCCACAGCAGAGCTGCTGAGGAGAGATGTCATCTGATTTATTAATTAATGCAAAACTGTTCATCCAAAGCTCCAAGGCATGGTTTAAAAAAAAAAAAGAGTATTTAAAAAATGATAAAAATAACATTTGCCAGCAGAGGAATAATTGAAGTTCTGCTCCTACCTTTTCACTCCACTGACAACCCCACCCTGAGTTCACCACCCCCTGCTCCCCTGCCCTTCACATGGCTGTGTCAATAAGAATTCCTGCTGTTTGCTAACTGGGTTAATGGAGTGACTGTGAATTGTCCTTTCTCCACAGCCAGGCCCACCACCCAAGCTGTTCCCAGACTACCTGCCTTTCTTGCTTCCAGGATCACGAATTTGCAACAGCAACGTCCATTGTTGTCCACAGCTGGGACTTCGGGGTTTTAAGTGAATCTCCCTAAGGTGGAGAACAGAAAATGCTGCTATTTTGGTTTGTCTGGTCTACAATAGGACCATTCTGTAGGGTTTCTGGGCAGCGCAGAGCTGCCCAGGAGGGAGGAATCAGAGCTGAGCCTTGATGAGCCAACACAGGCCAGAGAGAGCTATGGAGGGAGGGAGGGGAGCAGGCAGGGGTAAAAAGCTGACCTTTTCTTCCAGCTACTTGGCTTTGCGTTTCATTTTAATCATTTTCAGACAACACCACAAGCGAGGAGCCTTGGGAATCTTAGTGCCCAGCCTTTGATCTTTGGCCTCCAGAACTGCCATCCCAGGCTGGGAGGGGTGACCTGGCCTGACCCTGCTTCCCCCAGAAAAGACAGCATTGAAGGTAGCCCTTCTAATCCCCAAGGTTCAATCAGAGCCTGTTCTCTCTCATCACCCTTGGAAAAAAAACAAGGCGTTTTCCTCCTGTTGTTTTTTGAGGTGTGTTGGTTTGTTGAAATCTGCTTCACTTAAAAGGCTCATTAAAGCTCAGAACATCAGCATTCAGGAGAGATGGTCTCCAGAACCTTGGCAATACATCCGGGGGGGTCTTTGATGTGGGATGGCAGGCCCTGCTTGCATGCAGTCTGTGTTCCCAGCCCTGAGACTCGCTGCCCAGAAAGGGCCTAGTTTCCTCCCTGACTTTTGTCCCTACCTTTTGCCTTTCCCTTCTCTTCTTCCCATCCAGTCTCAAGGCAGTGCTGAGACAGCTCCAAGGTTCTAACAGAATGGAGGAGGGGAAAGGATGGGTTGCCTGTGTGGCTCAGTGGTGAGCACTTTCCTAGCACGTGTAAGACCCTGGGTTCCACCCCAGCACTAACCCCCGACAATAAAAAACAAAAAACTGAAGGAGAGAACTGAATGTGGGTCCTGGGGATCCGCCTAGGGCTTCTCCTGCAGTAGCACAGAGGACAATTTTATAGCATTTCACACGGTCACATGGTGTGATCCTGTCTCATGTTGGTCTCATCCCCAGGTTCCCCCCACTCACCCCCTCCACACCAGGGAAGGCAGGAAATGGCAGACGTCTTTGGAACCCCAGTGATCTGTGCCCTGTTGTGACAGGTGCTCCTGTGGGGCTTGTTTCTACCTTGAGTTTTGATGAGAGCCCGCACGCTCTCCTGCTATAATCAGCTTGTAAGCTTCTGGTGCATGTCTGTGTATTCACACCGCTCACATAGCAAAGAACAGCCCCGAACAGTGCTCAGTACGGAATCAAAATTAAACTGGATTGGAAATTCCTGGCCATCAACTAAAAGCCCAGGCTCTCCCATGAAAGGGAGATGAAGCTGGGTAGCTGTCTGAAGGAGGCCCTCGGGTGTCTCGGCACACCACTGCCCTCCGCTGGGCCCTGAGCAGAAGCTGCCCTGGGCCCCGCATGCTGCAGGACTCGCTCAGGTTTCCTTCCCTCCCTCTCTGGTTCAGAGGCCTGGGCAAACCGGTTTCTGGGTTGGCTTCTCTTACCAGGTTAGTTCATCCTGACTGCCCTGCATTGAATTCAGGAAACCTGGGAACATTCAAAGATCAAGATCTTCTTTGACGCCTTGAGTACAGAGGGTTTGATAAATATTTAGGATGAGAAAGTAAATATGGTGACGCATTCCTGGCATGCCACACGCACTGGGACCATGGTGACTAAGTTATCCTTCATGTCACACATTGCCTTGGAGGACAGAGCTCAAATTTCGTATCCTACCATAAGTGATGGTACAGCTTCTGCTCTCCCCCGCCCCCCAACAGCATGAAGTACACCGCAGATCTAACACGGACCTAGATGTCCTGCCTTTCCCAGCCCACCTGTTCACTGACGTCACCTCCGAACGCCCCCTCCCCCGCCCCCGCCGAGTGATCATTCTTGTCTTCTCCACTGACCCAAGAGAAAACAACAAAGGAGGTTTTGGGGTGCACTTCTGTATGTCTCCTTCCTTCACTGGGCTGTGTGACGGCGGGACCTGGTCATCTCCATTCCTGAGACCCCCTCCTATCACAGAGCCGCTCATCTTTGTGAAAGCAACCTGGCTAAATCACTGCAGTCCAGTCCAGAGCAGCAGGACAAACGTCGCTCCTCCACCCCTGCAGGGGGCGCTCGGGCAGCCAGCGTCTGTCTCTCTGCTTCTTTCCTTTCCTTTTCTTTGCGAGGTGTCCCAGGCTGATCCGGAAGTGGAGCCTCTCCTGCTTCAGCCCGCAATGCTGGCATTACAGCCCGGAACCCGCACGCCGAGCTTCGTCTCCCGGCGGCGGAGCTCTCCTGCCGCTCCCAGAGGCCCGCGCTCAGGCTCCGCCCCCTCCCGCTAACATCCCTGCTGCCTATTGGGCGAGCGCGGCCGGGGCTGTCCAATGGGGCGAGGCGTTGGTGCGAGGAGCGCCGCCATCTTGGGGCGGCAGGGAGCGCTGGGGTAACTGGGCGGATCGCCGGCTGGGGTCGGCGGCCTTGCCTCCTACTTCCCTCCGCGCTTGGCACGATGCCGCAGTACCAGACCTGGGAGGAGTTCAGCCGCGCGGCCGAGAAGCTCTACCTCGCCGACCCGATGAAGGTAAGGCGCTGGCGGTGCCCGGCCCGGGTCAGGTGTCTCCCTGCGGCTCCGGTTCCGGTTCCGGTTCCCCCCACGCCCGGTGCGAAACGGGGCCCGTCGTTCCCTGGCATGGCGGGGTGGTTCCTCCTTGGGGGTCAGCGGCCGTGGGAGCACCAGGACACTTTCCCCACTCCGCGCCCCGCCGTGAGCGCCGGTGACAACCCCGAGGCGAGCTGCCGCCCCCCGAGGGCCGGTGCTGCTGGAGGCCGCGGTGCGCGCGTGTGCGGTGAGCGCGTGGTCCGGACGGGGAACGCGGAAAGCAGTGGACGAGCGAGCTTCCCAGCTGGGCTCGGGGCTTCCTGTGTGCGATCTCTGGAGATCAGTGGCGAACATGGTGTGTTCCTAAGAGCTACCGGGGCTGGCGGAGTGCACAGTCCCTCCTTAGCGGCCGTCCGGAAGTACCCACGTTGTAAACTAAAATCTTTCCAAATGTACGGGGGGAAATGAAATAAAATTAAAGTAGTAGCTGCAGCCCACCACTGAAGAGAGCTTGTCTAAAACAGACTAGGGAGGGAGGACCGTTCATCTTTTTACCCAGCTATAAAACTGAATCCTGGTGATACCCTGCTGATAGTTTTAGAGTGGTTATTGGGGTGAGGGGACGAGAGAAGGGATGCGTGAGTGGGAAGAGCGTGATCTGCAGTTCTGTTGAGTGCCTTGTATGTGTTGGCCATTTCCCAAATGTGTATGTGATGGGTGTTAAACAGTTAAGTACCAAAAATGGCTTACCTTGTTTCTAAGAGATTAGGCCAAAATAAAAATCCAGGGCTCTGAACGCAAGTCCATTCTGTTTCTACCAGGGCTGAAGAAGAAATTTTGTAAGGACTCTGGACTTTGTTTTCTAAATGCTGTCTTCTGTCCCCAGCACATTTAACCTGATGATCGTGTCCTTTCTTCTTTGCCACTGTTGCCTGCACTGCTCTAATTGGAAATGGCATTTCAGGTGGATCCTATAACTGCTTCTTTGTTGGTGTGTGATGCTTGCCTCGTCCCTCTCTAAGTCCCAGCAGGACTGTCTAAACAGAAATTGAATTCTCCCTCTCCTGCTTAAAAACTGGTTCTTCAGAAGGGGCTGTGGGTCTATCCTGTAATCCCACCTACTCAGGAGGCAGAGACAGGAGGATGACAGGCCAGTCCATGCGAAAGTTAACAGGATGCTATCTGAGAAACAAGCCAGGCGTGGTGGTGTGTGCCTGTGGTCCCAGCTACTCGGGTGGGAGAGGGGAGAGAATCACAGTTGTAGTCCAACCTGGGCAAGGTTAGTGAGAGACCCTATCTGAAAAACAGTAAAAAGCAAAAGGACGTGGGGGTGCGGCTCAATTAGTAGAACACTTACATAGCAAGTGTGAGGCCCTGAGTTCCAGTACCACATTAAAAAAAAATGTTTTAAAAGTTTTTTAGATTAAAAAAACTGCTACTGATTGACTGGCTTACCAGGCAATTGCTGGACTCTCTCCAGATTGACTTTGTGTCTCATCAATTCTACCATCCTCAACTGTAGACTCCGTGAGGCTACAGAGCTAATCAAATACTTGTTCGGAAGGCTTCTCATCCTTTCTCACACCTTCTTCCCTAGAGGAAAAAGCACCTCCTAAAAAAGGTGGCTCTTTCCTTCTAATAAAATTGTTTGTTGTCTCCCTTTAGCATTTTATCTGTAGGTGCCTTTTTAGGGTTTAATTCATTTTGTCTTGGGTTTTGGTAATTTTGGAAGACAAGAATTTTACCACTGAACCACCAGTGCTGCCTTCTAATATTCTGGTTACTTTGCTGGTTGGATTCAGAGTTGGAAAGAGGGTAAGACTCTTGGCTTCTTAGAGACTCAGGCACCTCTTGAGTTACACAGTGGACACTGTCTTACAGCATCACAAAGCCCTGTAGCTGCTCTCTCCCGGGGAGAGCAGTGAGTATTCTTCTCACTGAAAGTTAACACTTCAGGTAGATGCCATGCTTATTATATTTCTAAATTTTAGTCTCTAGAGAAGTCTTTCACTTCGTTAGTTTAATAGGTCAGTAAATGGATTAAATATCCTAACGTAGCTTGACTGTTCTGTATTTCGTATCTTAAGTGTTGGATGAGTATCCTCTCTTCCCTCACCAAGACAAATCTCAAAGACGTGTAACGCTTTGTCCTTTTTTAGCTCCTCCATTCTTAGCAATCTTTAAAACAGGTTGTGGTTTGCAAAAAGTCACTGCTGCCATCGCTATGCTTGCATCCATCATTAAAGCAAAAGGTTGAAAGGGGTCGAGAGTCACTGGGTACTGTCTTACAGCAATATGCTAACTCCTGAATGATGTCTTGGCTGCTTACTGTAGAATACGGAATAGCTTGGCATTCAGTGTTCTAGAGTATGTCAGTGTTTGGAAAAGTCGTTGGTGGAGATTTCTTTTCAAGGTAGAATTCTGCCACTAGGTAATAATGCCTTCATTCTGCCTTCTTGATAAAGACGTGCTTTTATGAACACTGTATCTGAACCTGCCTCCTGAGAGCATGGAAAAAGGGCAGAGTAGGAGCTGGACCGCAGCACTGTTTTCTGAAGAATGGGTTTGGACTTTAGTCATCTCAGCTAACTCGTTTTTCATTCTGTTAATGTCATTCCTCTGTGGCAAGGTGTGCTGATGGATATTCTTTTATGTTTTTCTTTTTTTTTTTTTTTTTGGCAATGCTAGGGTTTAACTCAGGGCCTCATGCTTACTAGGCAGGTGCTCTACTACTTGAGCCACTCTGCCTGTGATGTATATTCTGAACAGCAAGAGATGCCAAGACACCCCACAGACAACCTGATGTGTTTTGGGACATCTCTGCAAATACAATATGCATTTTTTAAAGACTTTTAAAAAAAAAGTGTAGAAATAGGAATGAGCTAAAATGGCTGAGGTTTTTTGTTTGTTTGTTTTAAAATATCATTTCAGTAGTGATAATATTACAAGTGCCTTTAGATGTTTTAAAAGGATACTTTTTCAGCCCATCTAAAGACATATTTATGAAAGACAGTTTCTATACATGTATTTTGTTTGTTTGTTTGCAGGTACGTGTGGTTCTCAAATATAGGCATGCTGATGGGAATTTATGCATTAAAGTAACAGATGACTCAGTTGTAAGTACACATTTTTATTTGTTACATTTTTTCAGATTTCTGTGGCTTGATCATTTGTTTGAAGTTATTTCATAGCATTTATGCAGATTACCCATTTTATGCTTATTGTACATCTCATTCCAAACTGGAAACCTCATCCTAAAACCTATGTTTACAGACTCTGAAGAAATAATTTATCTTGCTTCATTAGCAGTTGCTCTCTTCAGGGCTGGCAGAGGGGCTCAAGCAGAGAGCACCTCCCTGCTTGAGAGTGAGATCCTGAATTCAAACCCCAGTACCACTAAAAAAAATTGTTCTCTTCAGACCTCAGGCAAGAAGAACTGTGTAAGGGTCCTCTGCATATGAGCCAGCAGAGGTTTCCCTTTTCATGTGTGAGATGTAAAACACTAGTTTACAGTAACTCTCCTTCCTGACCTCCCTCAAGTCCCCTTTATTCCTGTGCCCTGTGTTACCTGCTGTCTGCATTCAGCACTCCACTGACACAGCTCTTGGTGAGATCTCACCAGCAGTGCCTTAATTCTCTGATCCGGTGGTCCCTTCAGCTCATTTTTGGCTTGATCTTGTCACTTTTGATACGAGACTCCTCCTCTCGTGGAAGTTATTATCCCGGTACTGTGGCTCCATTTTGTCTTGACAGTATTTTTCTGTGTTGTTTCTTTCTTGTTCTCCCATGGATACCTTGTTTCCTCAGGATTCAGTCCTTGGTTGTCTTTTCATACCACTGACAGAGCAGTCCATTCTCAAGTCCAGTACTGCCTGTGACTGTGCCTACTTGCAGATTCCTGCGTTTAGCTCCCGCTTTTCCTCTGACTTCTGACTGACCCTGAAGTTGAGTATCCTTGCCTCTCGTACCCCTCAGAGTTAGCCTGTGCGGACTGGAGCTTATCAGCTCCTCTCTGTCTGGCTCTTTGCCATCCAGAAAAAGGCAGAAGAAACAATGGCAGGAAGGACTCCCGCATTTTAAGCAATTGTATGACCCCACCTTGCCAGTATCTAGACCACTTAGTGAGCGTGTGCTGTGTGATCCCTGGCAGTGTTTGCTGTACAGAACAGAACAAGCTCAAGATGTGAAGAAGATCGAGAAATTCCACAGTCAGCTAATGCGCCTGATGGTGGCCAAGGAGTCCCGGGCCGTCACCTCGGCGGAAACGGACTGAACGGTGGACGTGAAGACTGTCGTGTTTAGAGAGTAAATGTCTTGAATTTGAGTAAGTGCTGGGGCAGAACTAAAGGGCTACTTGAAAGCTGAGAGGGTTTGTTTTTGTGCTTAATGTTTGCTTCAGATTGCTAGGAATGTAAGTGCTTTGTTAGAAGGCCTTTGTTTATTTTTGGAAACGGAACAAGATTCATTTTCTCAAACTTTTGACATAATATTTGATGTTGAGCCAAATATATGTGACTTCCGGTGAATTTACGTCAGTAATTTGATAATGAAATACCATCAAAAGCAACTCTTCCTAAAATTCAGTTCATTTCTGTTTAAGAGAAAATTGAACATGACCCTTTTTCTGGATTTTTTGGGGCAAAATGTGTACTATTAACAGCAAATAAATACATCAGCTGTGCACTGTAGGATGCCATATGTGGTAGTACAGTCTCAGTTGTGAATAACAAGTGGGCTTTACTTCAGGCTTTCTGGATTGAACTTTAATTTGAATGTTAGGCATTCGTATGTCAATTTGTTGAGCAGAACTTACAACCTGGTTTTCAGTAATCAAAAACAAGCAGTTACTGGAATGCATGAACAGAATGACAATGACTCCAATGGACTGAAACCACCATATTCCACAGTATTTCCTATTTCCACCTGTAGTTTCTCAGATGGGCCCAGGATCATTCCTAACACTAAAGTGTTAAGCATGAGTGAGTTCCAGTAAGCCAGAAGTGTGATATCCTTTCATACAGATCCTGTATTTGTACTTTGATTTGACCATCTTAAAGTAATATTCCTAGGTTGCTTCATCAAGTGAAGGTATTACAGTAAAACAGTTTTTGTAGACATTTGTCATGTTGAACATTTTAGCATGGAAAGTTCCATTAGCCTTAAGAATTTTGGCATGTTTCAGGGAGGTCAATAAATAAACTATTACGTAAATATATATTGTTTTTGTTGATACTGTTTTTGTTGAATTTTTAACTTCTCAAGAAGTACTCATTCCTTGACTAGAATCTACAATATTCACTTACTCTCAGTGAACCTAGTGATCCTGAAAGCAAACATTTTTATTATTTTTCTCAGGCCTTTTTTTTTTAAAAAAAAAAAAACCGTATGACTTTCTTTGAGCTAGGTTGTTTTATTGCATGGGGAAAATGCTATGAAATAGTTCATGGGTGTTTTAGCCTCAGATTTCACCAGAACTAATGGGGTTGGGGGGGCTGGCCTTTTTCTTGTGTACAGCTTCTGCTTCCTAGTACTACTTCATAGAGACCACTTGGAACAGAGGGACTAACGTTTGGGTCTTTGAGTCCTCGTAGCTTACAGCAGAATTGTTCAGAGCAGAGGTGCCAAGGCCGACCTCCCAGGTCGCAATCTTACCACCACTATTTCCCATCTGTTCTTAGAGGAGGTACTTCTCTAAGCCCTTGTTTTCCTCTCTGAACATTGAGTGGACAGTGACACCTTCATTGTTGGACCATTAGGAGAATTAAATGGCCTGATCCATTTTAAGATTTTAGCTCAGTGTCTAAAACATAATAAATCTCAGTGCACTGTAGTTATTGTTACTGTGATTGTTGTTGTGATTACTACTTCAGGGGAATCAGTAAGTAATGAGGTCTTTATCAAACGATACCTACAGGTAACACCTGCCTTTTCTCCTGAGCTATGCCTCTTACTGGTTGGCAACAAAACAAAATTAAAGACCATATATATAATAAAACACCAAATTGTAGTGTTCTGAATCCTTTTATCAAGTATCTCTGGCTCCTGTAAGCACTTTTCTAGATTTCTTTTAAGCAAAGTGTTCTGTGACGCCATTGATCAAAAGGTCCTCTCTTCAGAGTTCATAGCCCATTGAACTTTGCTGGTAGGCTACATTTGTTCTTCATTCTGAAGTATTGGCTTCTGCCTTCCAGGGATTACCTAGCCTGCCAACTTTGTATCTTAAAAACAAAATCCTTTTGCTACAGTGCTAAGTCATTGATTAGATGCAGTGTTGGCAGCATTTTACAGTTAGTATCATCTGTTACTCCTAGAAAAATCTAACATTGACTCTGATGGTAACAGTTCTGAAAGTGTTCTAAAACTAATTCAAAATGAGTCATTGTGAAAGAAGTTAGTTGCTCAAGAACAATAAGTAGGAGGTCTGTTCCTGCCTACTAAAAATGAAAAACCAAATTCTTACATAAAACACAAGAAAAATGCCCTTTTTAGTCTTATAGCTAGAATTTATGTCCTATCCCTCTTTTTTTTCCTTTTGACAGTACTAAGGCTTGAACTCAGGGCTTGCTAAGCAGATGTGAGCCCCTGTTTTACATTTCTTACCATCACTGAGATGACAGGCCTGTACCACCATCCCTCATTTTTCTGTTGAGATAGGGTCTCAGGTACTTTTTGCCAGGCTGGATGGAACCATGATCCTCCCCATCTCAGTCTCCCAAGTAGCTAGGATTGTAGTCATGAGTCACCTGTGCTCGGCTTTCATGCAACTTTCTTACATTAAAGGTACTATCTGGGCTAGTTGTACATAGGATGTGGAAGGCACTTTCCACTGTGGGTCTCCCACTGTAAATGTATGAATGGCTACTGAAGGATTGTGAGAAGAAAACGGTACCAGGTAGATTGGGGCAAAGACTAGAATTTGAAGTACTACTAAACCAGTGTTGAGTCTACCCTTTTTCTCCCTTCTGGAGCCCTGCACAGAGGGAGAACTGGGGTACGGAGAGTACCAGAAGCGCTCCAGGTCTGGCTCGGGGGTAGGATGGGGATTTCTATTAGAGTGCACAATCCTTTTATTTTCCTTTCTGTGTCTTACGTCCCATTCTCCAAGCAGTCCCATGGTGGTGGCCTGCAGGAGCCAAACTCCAAAGATAAGGATCTTTCAGTAGAGTTGTGTTTCCAAGGGTGGGTGCCAATCCCCATGCTTTTTTCCTGTCTTCTGTCCATGAGGCCCTGGGTACAAGCACAGTGACAGAAGAGCACAGGTGAGTTAAGCTTCAGTCTTCCTGCCAGAGAGCAATCACAGGGACCTAGAAGGTCCTGGGGAGATCACAAAGAGGAAGGAACTTGTACATAAAGTTACTTATGAATTTCTGGGTTCACCTGCCAAACTACACATGTGTATAGATGTAGCCTTACTCAGCATACCAAAGACTTCAAGAAGTGAGCAGACAGACAGACCACCACCCATAATCTAACAGGATGACAATCTGAAGGTGTTCCAAATACTGTAGATCCAAATAGTACAGTGGAGGTTTTGAATGTCGAACTGACACTAGACCCACAGCCAACAAAAGACAGATAGTAATGTGACTTGTGGTTGCTTGCACAATCAAACTAAAATTCATATCCTCCATAGGGTGTGAAGAAGACAAGAGTTTAATAACAACATGCACAAAACCCATGAGTTGATTTAGAACCAGCCACTGTGTCCAGAAATTGGAAGACAACAGATCGCAGCACCGAGATGTCACAGATGTTGAAATTACCTGAAAAAGACATTAAAGTAACTATTTAAAAAGTGCTTCAACAGGTAATTATGAATGCTTTTCAAAACAATCTCAATAAAGAAATAAATGGTACAAAAATGAATCAAGTGGAAATTTTAGAACTAAAAACAAACCAACAAAATTTAAAGCTCATTGAGTAGACTGTCAGAATGAATGAAGGAGATAACCCAAAACCATGAACAGAGCTTCAGAGCCCTGTTGGACAATAACAGAAGATCCAACATTTGTGCCATCAGTATTTCAGGAAGGAGAAAATACGGTACTGACAGAAAGATGAGGGCGTTGGTGCAGCTCGGTGGTAGAGCGCTTGTCTGCCATGCTCAGGCCCTGGGTTCAGTCCTCAGCACTGAAAAAAAAAAAACAAAACAAAGCATTTGAAGAATTATTTTGTGAAAACCCTCTGGGATTGAAGAAGCTCTAATTCATGCCTAAATACATGGTAATGAAGCAGGTGAAAATTAGCCATTTTGTGAGCAGCCAGAGGAAAACAACACAACACTTATGGGAAGTAGTGATTCTCATCTGAAATCACAGAAGCAGTCATTCCTAAGACAACAAGAGAAGAGGAGCATGAAGGGTAGTTACTTCCATCATCATGTAAAAAGAGGCTCTGCAGCAAGTCCCTCCAGCAGAAGGGAAATGACAAGGGGAATTGAAACACTCCAGAAAAAGTAACAACAGAAACGATAACCATCTGGATTAAAGCAGTAGACTTCTGGAGTTCCTAAAGTACGTTTAAGTCCTGAATAAACGGAATAGCTCAGTGGTAGAGCACTTCTGCAAGAAAACCAAAAACACTGACATGAATAACAAAGGCAAAAGGTAAAGGGATGTGTTGTAAGTTTTCCACATTTCACCTGAAGTGGTAAAATTCTTCCCAGTAGACTGGAATTCTGAGTATGGAAATAAATTTTTTTAACCGTGGAGGCTGGGAACGTGGCTCAACTGGTAGAGCACAAGGCTCTGAGTTCAAACCCCAGCACACATCAGCCCCAACGCACACACACACAAAATCAATATTTAAAATGAAATTAAAATAGGTTTTTAGGAAGAGTTTTTCCTGAAAAGCATCGACTGCTTGCTTGGACCCACAAGTTAACTGAAAGCAGGATACAAGCTTGGCACCCAGCCTCCACGTTACATCTGTCTCCTTTACTGAGGTCCTGCAATCACTTTGGGTTCCAAAATGATCAACGGCATCTTTATGAGGAGGAACTGAAACTACCCCCAAGGGAAGGAACACAGAACCTTGAAGGACAGACCACCCAAATGAGGACAATTACCTAGAATGGTGAGGCCACACCCTGGAGCAGGAGTAAGCATCTCGTGGGAACCAGGTTGCTCCTCTCAAGTGATGACAGCAATAACTTCTCCAAAACTCCTTCCTTCTCGGTACCTGGACTGAGATAAGGAGCAGACTACACTTCTTTCCAGGACTGTTTATAAATACTTCTCCCACTGTTCTGACTTCTTTAAACCTCAGAGCTCTTGTCTGTGCCCCAGTAATGGGCTAGAATGCATACCCATCCCACATGATGCTCTGCCCTCCACCACTACTCTGTGTGAGATGGTGTTGGGCTGAGTGACCAGATAGCCCTGGCTGCCTCCACCTCCATCCTCCTGTCTCAGCCTCCTGAGTGCTGGGACTACAGATGTACACTGCCACACATGTTCCAAAATGTTTCTTAACCTGTCTCATGTTTCCTTATGATTCTATTTGTATTGTGCATTTTTCATGTAAATGTTTTCTGTGTGTGTGTGTGTGTGTGTGTGTGTGTGTGTGTGTGTTGCAGTACTGGGTTTGAACTCGGCCTCATGCTATACCAGTGCTCTCCCACTTGAACCACCCCACCAGCCATTTTTTGTGTTGGATATTTTGGAGCTAGGGTCTCAAACTGTTTTCCTGGACTGACCTCAAACCTCAAACCTCCTGCTCCTTGCCCCTCAGGAACTTGGATTAGCAGGAATAACCAGCCGGTGGCTTGTTTTGTAATGTTAGAAAGATTTTATATTGCCCAGCTGGCTTGAACTTGTGTTCCCAAGAGCTGGAATTACAGATGCCTGCTATTATACCATTCAAGGCTTGTGCTCCTGGGAAATCAGGAAAGGTCGTCCACCTTTTGTTCGAAATGTCCCCCACTCATTTTTCATACCTGGTGTGTTAGCTTTCTGTTGAACTATCAAGTACTCCCAGATAATCAACTTAAAAAAGGTTTTGGCTTTCAGTTTTAGAGGTCTCAGTCCATGGTCAGTTGGCCTGGTCGGTTTGGCCTCTGGTGGTACATGATGGAGGATATAGCAGAACAAAATTACTCACTTAGTGGCCACAGAAGTAAAAGAGGAAGAGAAACGGGGCACACTCACAGTGAATACTTCCTACTGGGGATACTTCCGACTGGGCCCACCCTGTTAAGGGTTCCACGTCCTGGGTGGGACCAAGTTTTTAACACATGCACGTTTGGGGGACCACAAGATTGAAACTATAGCATCTGAAAAGTACAAGTTTATATAGAGGAACAACTTTTGTTCTATTTTTTATTACTGTTCTACAGGTCATACTATACTCATTCTTTTACTCTTTGGACTTTTAGTAGCTTTTGACCAAAAGGGAAAATTTGTTTAAATTTTGCCCTGCTGAGTTGAACTCTGACCTATTTGTTTCTGGACTGCCTCTGTGTAAGTTGTACTTAGAGATATTTTGCAGTGTTAGATTTCACTCTGGATGGAAGATAACCAGGGAAGGGTATGCAGACCAGGAGTGAAGCTTCCATCTGGGGGCAGGCTTGTTTCTATGTTTGAAAAGCCTTTAGATAGGGCATCCTATCCACAGGTACTGCATAGGCAAAGGCTTGAAGGTGGGAATGAGCTGAATGTGATTGTTGGTCAGAAACTCATTTAAATGGAGTTCTTGATGAGCCGCGAGGTTGGAGGCCCAGGGTGGGGTGTGTGTGGCTTGGCGATTTCATCCTGAAGTGTGTGCAACGGGCCCTGCCTGACTTCGTAGCCTGATGATGAGGTTGCCGTGGCAAAAGCACCACCCGAGGCTGTTGGCGGGGACCAGGGTGCTAGTCGGGCCACGCAGGTGAGGGCAGGTGTGCTAATCCGCGGGTGGGAGATGAGCCAGAAACCCAGGGTCGTAGTGACCGCGATCCAGGCCCGGCCTCTTCCAGACCCGAGGCGCCCGCGCGGAATGCATCGTGGATCCCCGCGGTGAAGCCTGGTGTGTTCAAAGACGATCTCGTCTTTGTGTTTAGCCTGCACAACGCGATGGCAGCGAACTGCCCGGAGGACATCTAACAGAGGCCTCGGGTGGGGATGCCTGCGGAGGCGGAGCCTTGGGAAGGCGCAGGGCAGAACTGCTCAATCGGAGGTCGGGGCGGGGCAGAACTGCGGCCGGAGACGCGGAGGAGCGGGAGCCCAAGGACCGTAAGATACAGTAAGCGCCCGGCTGGGGCGGGAGGGGCGGATCGGCGCCGCGGTTCTGTGTGGGAACCAGGGCGAGAGGACCGGGAGGTCCAAGCCAGTCGGGGGACACGGTGAGCCCCTGTGTCGGAAAAAAAAAAAAGTTAACGGGCGTTAGAAGCCCGGGAAGCCAGCGGTCTTGAGTGGCAGGGCGGCGGAGACCCGAGTCGCCCGCCGGTCTGCCCGACAGGTGCGAGTTCACGGCGAAGCGTCTGTGTGAGCTTTCTGCCGCTTTTGAGCCCGCGTGCCAATGTGTGTGCGCAGGGTGCGCGCGCGCGCGAGCGAGAGAGGCCTGAGTGCTGTGTGCGCGTGCGTGTTTCCAAGCACCGTATGTGTATGCGCGGGTCCTCAGTGCTGCTCGCGCGCGCGTTCCCTAAGCACTGTGCGCGCGTGAGTCCAAAGCTCTGTGCGCGCGCATGTGTCCTAAGTGCTGTGTGCGCGCGCGCGTGCGTCTTCCTTTAGCAATGCTGCGATCCTAACTTTGACACTTTTTTGAGTGGCGCGCGACGCCCGCTCCTGAGGTTTAAACTTGGGCTCTGCCAGCTGGCCAGCCCTGCGGGGCCCCAGGCTTGGCGGATGCCACCTGCTTGGGCTGTGGCGGCAGAACCCTGGGTGATACAAGTGACAAACCTCCCAGGTGGACGGTCACAGGTCAGCCCCAAGACCCAGCAGTGGTGGGATTTGGATACTGCTGTGGGGTCGGTGCTTTCCTGCAACTGCGCGGCCTCCTCCGAATTCATCCGGAGGCCAACGGACATCTTCAGGAGCCACACTGTCCCGCGGGAGCGCAGTTCCTGGGTGTTGGTGTGTTCTTCAGGGAGCCGGATCCCGCAGGCCCCCTCCAGCAGAGCTAGCAAGCTCCAAACAACTTGGGAGTGGCCAGCAGTTTTCTTGTCACAAACATCCGCACGAGAAGCTCCACGTGAGGGCAGCTCACTTTCCCCAGGAAGTGGTCCACTGGGGCAGTGCCTTGAGACTGGGCTGTAGGGTCTCACGCTGCTCTTCATGGGATTTTCTGGACAGGGCAATAAAACAAGTTTGTAAAGTATAAATTATATTAGATGATGCAGTGTGCTATGGAGAAACAAAGCATTAAAGAGAGAGATCGGGAAAGTGTTGGGTGAAGAGAGAGGGCCCCACTGAGAGGTGACATTTGAAGGAGATAGGGAGTGACTGTGCTCTGTGGTTATGGGACCAGGCTGAGGGAAGAGTAAAGGTCCTGACATCTTGGCAGGAGTGTGCCAAGCATGGATGACGTTTATGTTCAGGTGTGCAGACTGTAGACCAAGGTGTGGTATACATGCCAACCTGTCAGTGAGAGGACCCTTACATTTCAGGTAAAGGGGACCCCTTCCACAAAAAGAACTCTCAGCAAGGCAGTCTGGTTAACTCAGTACCACCTGAAACACCCCCAGGCTCCCCTCTCCACATGGCCCCACCCGCCTGGCTGTGCTGCAGTGAGGGCAGGTGATAGAGAGGGTTGTCCAGAACAGAGGGAGGGTTCGGTGGACACGGACCTTTAGAGGAAGGGAATGCTGGCCACACAGGATGAAGTGGGGCACCTCCCCAGTTCGTGTTGCCAGGTTCCACACCCAGCACAAGTACCCAGTGCTGCTCCTGTCCACAGAAGGGTGGACATGCCTGGGCACAGTTGTTGCACAACTGGCAACTCCATTCTTTCCCCGGCATCCTGGCCCAAACCCAGGTATGTGAGGGGTAGAGGCTGCCAGACTCCCTATCTCAATTCTGTGTCAAGAGAGCCCAGAGCATAGAACACACTGAGGACAGAGTGAGAACGGTGGCCAGCGCGGTCTCCCGCTGCATAGAGGCCCAGAGACTGGCCCATGGAGCCTGCCTGTGGTGGCCAGGGCCACAAAGAGCTGGGCTCTGACCACCTCTGAGCAGCCTGCACCCCATAATTAGCATCTGTTCCTCTGTGGGGAGATGTGGAAAGAGGAAGGGCCTGGAAAGTAGACCTGGCAGTTTCCCTCCTGGGCCTCGGCAGAGCAAGGAGGCCAGCAGGACACTGTGGCTCCTGCAGGTGCTGTAGGGTGGCTCTATAATGAGAAGTCCCAGGACACTCAGGAGAGGAAGTATGCAGGTGGGTTGTGGTGGGCTTGGTGGGTCTCAGCACCCACGCCTCTGAAGGGTACACTGAGGACAGAACAAGTGGAGTGGTAAGGTGACACCAGGTGGGTTCCACCCAGACCACAGATCCTCTGTGGCTGCCTGTGCCAGGTGCTGGCCTGGGCCTGGCTTGGTGTCTTCTGTGGCCTTCAGTGGGGAGGTAGCCGCAGGCAGAAGCCACTACAGTCCCCCAAGAAGGAAGCAAGGCACCAACCTCTCCTGTGGCTTGTGGTGGCCCAGAAAAGCCAGGGGTCCTCTCCTTGGTCACAAACCAGAGCCCTGCCAGCGATTGCGCAAGTAGGCTCAGGGGACACTCCTCTCCCCCAGAGCAGCTGCTCCACTCTCCTTCAGCCCCTTGGCTTCGAGGCCTGCACCGGACAGCACACCTGACAGCACTGTCACTGTGTTCTACTGCTGGACTCAGTGCAAGGTTGGGGAAAGTGCCCTTCCCTGGAGTCAGACAGACGTTTGTGGCCGTTCTTAGGAGGCTGATGAACACTGGGAACATGAGCGGCCTCCTCTCAGGTGCTTCCTGGCCGGGTGGACTTAAGGAAGGCCTGGCTAAACTTCGTTTTCAGTCACTTCTGAGGGTCAGTCATTACCTGAATCCAGGTTCCAGTTGTGCCACTGTGTCAGGTCAGGCCTCTCTTGGCTTCCTCTAGGTTGTGGGTGCCTGGCCATATCCTGCAAGGAAAGGGCTCTGAGCATGCCTGTTAAAGGGCACCTTGCTGTGGCCTTCAAGCTGAGGCCATAGGCTGTCCCTGTGCATACACGGAGGATAGAGACTGGGCAGGCAGTGTGGCCTCCACCTCCCCCCATCCCCAGACTTGTGTTCTGGCTGCTCAATTTTGGGCTGATTCACACTGCCTGTCGAAAGAGCCACCTTGGCTACTTTGAGGGCAGACTTTCTGGTTACATGAGTTTGTACCCCTTCTTTAGAACTGGCAAGATGTGGGTATTTTGGAAAGTAGAGGAAATACTTTGGCTGATGGGCCAAGCCCAGTGCCTGTCTGTGAAGACGGGCTGAGCGTCTGAAGTGAAGGGCAGTCAGTGGAGGGCAATCTGCCTCTCTTACCCATTCTTTCAGGGCATGGATCCACTTTCCAGCTTTTCTGACCTGCTTGGAGGACCAGGCGGGGTAAAACAGCCCTGCCCTCCTCTGCTGTGTGCCCCTTTGGGCAGGATTCCCTGACCCTGCCAGGAAGGCCACACTCAGAGATGCAAAGACGCCCTGTCTGGTGGAACATCTCCAAAGTTGCCTCAGAACTTGTTTTCCTTTTTTTTTTTTTTTTTTTTGTTAGTTTTTGTTTTGCTGGGGATGGAACCAGGGACTGGCAAGTGCTGGACAAGCTCTGCCATGAGCCACACCCCCAGCTCACCCTAAGAGCTTTTGTTTAAACTCCATAAGTGCTTTTAGCCTTCAGGACTTTTCCCTTTTTTGTAGCCTTGACATTGCCACAGGCAAACTCCCCCCAGCAACATAAAATAACCCGAAAAACACTGGGAACTCTCCCTTGTCAGGGCTGCCCTGCAGGAAGCTGCCCCAAGACTCACTAGGCTCAGACAAGAAAGCTGCTCCTGTTACTCTGCCAGGCCCAGGTATACAGGAAGCATCCAGACCAAAGGGTGGAAAAACCGGCTCCAGGAGTTGGGGGGCGGGGGTGGGAAGGAAAACAATGGGGGTATCAAGTGGTCCACTCCCACCATCCCTGAAATAGCCATTTGTCATTGCTCAATAGAAGGCCAAGGACTGGGTGTCCACAGAAGGGACTCTTGTCCTTATAGGAACTGAGCTCTGCTCCACTTGACTTTTCCCTTCTGGTCATTAAAAACCAGTGGAAAACTCCAGAGCATTAGCACACGAACCCCACAAATGTGGCATCTCTTGCCCTTCCTCTGTTACAGGACTCAAACCTGTGTGGAAGAATCAAGGACCATTTTGACTTCAAAACAGAGCTGGGGCAACTCAGTGGCAAACACATGCCTAGCAATTAAAAATGGAGTAGCTGTGGTTCAGAGCCCTTAAAATGAGCCAGGAGGCCACTGTTAATCAGCTCTGACACACCTGGACTGAAGCTTTTACTCTGGCTGCAGACAAGCCCACCTCCATTGCCAGTTGACCTTTGAGACAGGATTAAACTTTGCTGACCTTGTGTACAATGGAGCCTTCCCCCAAACTACCCACAGATGGAAGCCACACTCAAGCTCTTCTTACAGGTCACGTGGACCTGAGCCCCACTCAGAATTCCACACTGACTTCCAGCCCCTCACAACCTTCGAGGCTGCTTGAATATGCGTGTTCCTGGATCACAATCCTAGTTGCCCCAAATGAATGTGACCTTACTGCTCCTGACCAGGTTGGCTTTCTCTTAGGCGGACAGAAGACTGTGTAAATGAGTTTCTGTGATCTTTCGACACTGTAGGAGTAACTGTCCCCTCTGTTCCCTTTCTAGGCAGGCGGCCCACTCATGGTCCCTGTCCTTCCCCATTCAGACCCTCCATACCAGGTGGAGACTGAGGCCTTTCTGAGGGGAAGCAGTTACTGTCCTCAGGTTCCATGGTTGACAAGTGGCAAGGTGGGGACTCAGCAGGAGCAAGAGACTGACCACCAGCTGGGCTGACCTCCAGCCATCATAAAGTGCAGTCCCAAACTGTGTGCTTCTTGTCTCTCCTGACATGTGGCTATGGTTGGGTGCTGGGGAGACCATCAACCCACTCCCAGCCCCCAACTCTGAACCAACTCTCTCTTGCTTCTCTTCGTTTTTCTCTGCAAACTTACTTTTCCCTTCTCTTGCTTGCTAGGTCTGAGCTGTTCTGGGCTTGGCTCCAAGGTCCTGCCCAGAGATA